CTCAAATAATACACTGCAGGGCACACACTAGGCAGGCCTGACAATTATGCTGAAATCAATTTTGGTGTTTTGTGTTAGTACCATTACCAGTGTTCATATTGTATCATATTGTATCTGTGTCATAAAATGTTTTCTTTTCCAGACTGAACAGCTGTAATCTCACAAAGACATGCTGTGAAGCGTTGGCTTTAACTCTCAGATCAAAGTCCTCACATCTGAAACAGCTGGACCTGAGTGATAATGACCTGCAGGATTCAGGGGTGAAGCTGCTCTTTCCTGAATTGGAGGAATACCGCTGTAACCTGGAGATACTGAGGTCAGTATTGCTGAGTATGTCAGTTTGCAAATTAAATACTGTAACAGAACTTGCAGGAATTGAGTTTTAGATCCATTAGCATACAGAAATTTTAAACACTGTGGTCCACACAGATCTGTACAGTGCAGTGAGAGCTCACTGCACTGTACAGATCTGTGTGGACCACAGTGTTTAAAATTTCTGTATGCTAATGGATCTAAAACTCAATTCCTGCAAGTTCTGTTACATCTCATGAATTTTGTTAATGTTAATTAAATGACTTTATCATTTTATGCTGTTTTAGCATAAAAAATTCAAGCATTCGCTGGGCTGGAATTAAAACTAATACAGTCTGGCAGCCCTGCATTAGCTGCTGGAGACGTTCACATCTCCCCCTTCCAGAGTTACTTGCCAAGTGTTGGGACACCTAGAAGAAAGATGGCTAACGACTGCACTGGGAGCAGTTTCATGTCTCTGAATAAGTTACAGTGCATATGGAAAGTTTTCAGACCCCTTCAAGTCATCCTCATTTTATGTCATGTCTAAGACTCATCTTAAAATGGATTAAATTCAGTACCCTCCTTACATGCAGTGCTCAGCCCCTCTCGCATGCATTTTTAATACCGATAAGGTGGAAGGGCACAACATTCAGGGGTGGAGATACCCTTTTTGAATTTAATTTAATATCCAGACCTGATGAATAAAATGGCCATGGGAGTAAGTTGGCCAGAAGTTTGGAGTGAATGATGGTCAAAATTGTAATGTTACTGTTTATTTAATGTTTCAATCTTGTGATTTATTTGCATAGTCCCTAATATTTCTTAGTCATTTCTGATTTCAAGCGTTTTTTAATGTCAGTGATATGATTCAGTGACATAACTGCATAATTTACCATGAACAATATTTAACTGTTTTTTTTCCTCCAATGGTATCATTGCAGTACCAGTATCATGCTACTTAAAATGTATTTGGTATCAAGGTCATAATTATGGCATCGTGACAACACTACTCCACACTGTGAACTGTAATGACTGCAGTCTTTATTGGAGTAGTCACATTTACTTTAGACTAATGTTTGTAATGGCGAGATGATCTTATTTCCTGAAGATAAAGCAGTATTTTTGTCTTTCTCTCTATAGGCTGTCACACTGTGGAGTCAAAAAAGGAGGCTGTTCTTCCCTGGCTTCAGCTCTGAGCTCAAACCCCTCACACCTGAGAGAGCTGGATCTGAGCTACAATCACCCAGGAGACTCAGGAGTGAAGCTGCTCTCTGCTGTATTGGAGAATCCCAACTGTAAACTGGAGATACTGCGGTCAGTATTGCTGAGTATTTCAATTTGTAAATTGAATACTGAGGGCAGTGCTTTCTGACACTCCTCATATGGCATAATCAGCTGATCCTGAATGCAAGATGCCCAAGCATGGACTGTAAAGCATTTTATAGCAAAGAAACCCAAATCAAACTCCGCCCCTCTCGCATGCATTTTTAATACCGATAAGGTGGAAGGGCACAACATTCAGGGGTGGATATACCCTTTTTGAATTTAATTTAATGTCCAGACCTGATGAATAAAATGGCCATGGGAGTAAGTTGGCCAGAAGTTTGGAGTGAATGATGGTCAAAATTGTACTGTTACTGTTTGCCACATTTGGCACTTATGTATTTTGTATTTGATTAATGTTTCAATATTGTGATAATGATCAGTTTCATGGGTCTGAATATGTTACCAGAGGATTCACATATGATACTGAGGTCATTATTGTTTGGTATTCCACACTATAAACTAATAATTGAAATCTTTACTGGAGTAGTCACATTTACAAAAAAGTAATTCTTTTAATTGTGAGGTAATCTGACTTATTGGAAGTTATGCAGTTTTTTTGTCCTAGAAGGCCTTTGATGTTGTCCCCCACAAACATCTCTTGCTTAAGTTCAAAGCTGCAGGGGTTTTAGGGACTGTGGCAGCTTGGATCGAAAACTGGTTAACCCTCTGGGGTCTAGGGGTAGGAAACACACTTTCACTGACTGGGGCATGATCACACATTTCTTCAAATATCATAAACTTAATTCATGGCAAATAAATTATTTATTATATATTTGTTTTGGCATTAATCTCATCTTAATCTTAGTGTACTTTTTAAATATGTCAGATTTTTGTTAAATTTGTAATTTGACATCAAAGTATAGACATTGCAAGACGCAATTTGGAACACTTGCAGACACATTATAAAAGTACATAGTAAGCAATAGTGGCAGTTTGTTTTGATTACCAAAGTCTTGGCTACATGAAGATGACTAAATGGTGTAGTTGCATTCAGTTGGATAAATAAATAAGAAAAAGCTAACTCATGTCACTCTTTCTGGGCTCCTTCCATTGAATATGTAGGAGCTCTCGTGTATGAATGAGCCATTGACACCTGGCCACAGCCCCCCTCCTTTATGGTGCGGATGAAGATGTATCTGGATCGCGTTTCACCATTGCGCTGTTCATCAAATTACCATGCGAATGCGATTTGAATACGCGCTAATGCAGCTATTTATAATGTGAATAGCGATCTTCGGGTGAGAGTGGTACTACACGCCCCCGATGCAAGTAAAACAAACAATAGTGACATGGTTTAGTTTTTTGCCTATTTAACCAAATTTAAAAATCTTTGATACTTCCGACAATGAACATTTTGAAAAGAAGACAGATTACAGATTTAGTCAGCGTTTTTTTTCATGTTTCTACAATAAGATTTCAGCGAGTTATGCACTGAAATACACAATTAATTTACATTAATGATATTGACACCAATACATACAGTAAACTGATTAAATTTGCAGACGACACCAAGGTGGGTGGTGTAGCAGATACTGATCTAGCAGCACAGAGGCTATAACGGGATCTTGATTTAATTAGCGACTGAGCTGGTATTTGGCAGATGAAATTTAACGTTAATTAGATAATTGTAAGGTAATCCATGCATGGAGCAGAAATATAAAGTACAGATATTTTATGGGTTCCACTGAAATAAAGGTAGCTGATTATGAGAAAGACCTCGTTGTGTATGTTGATGCTTCCATATCCCACTCTCGCCAGTGTGGGGAAGCAATAAAAAAGGCCAATAGGATGTTGGGTTACATCTCTAGGTTTGTGGAGTATACAGTAAGTCAAGGGAGGTGATGCTACGATTATACAATTCCTTGGTAAGACCCCACCTAGAATATTGTGTGCAGGTTTGATCACCATATCTTAAAAAGGACATTGCTGCCTTGGAAAGGGTTCAATGTAGGGCTACAAGAATGATTCCTGGTCTTAGTGGAATGTCTTATGAGGAGAGGTTAGCTGAGCTGAATCTGTTTAGCCTCAAGCAAAGGAGACTGAGGGGGGACATGATCCAGGTAAGATTCTAACAGGTCTGGATGCTGTTCAGCCAAATGGCTACTATTAGTTTAAATACTAGAACTCATGGCCATAAATGGAAATTAGCGGGAGAACATTTTTAAATGAATCTGAGAAAGCATTTTGCACAGCGTGTAGAGTATGGAATAGTCTTCCTCTTAGTGTAGCGCAAACTAAAACTCTGAGTTCCTTTAAATCAGAGGTAGATAAGATTTTAACAACTCTGAGCTATTAGTTAAGTTCTCCCCAAACTAGCTTGATCAGCTGAATGGCCTCTCGTTTATAAATTTCTTATGTTATCTCCCTGCAGGCTGTCAGACTGTGGAGTCAGAAAAGAAGGCTGTTCTTTCCTGGCTTCAGCTCTGAAGTCAAACCCCTCATACCTGAGAGAGCTGGATCTAAGTGACAATGGCCTGAAGGATTCAGGAGTGAAGCAGCTCTCTGCTTTACTGGAGGATCCCAGCTGTAAACTGGAGAAACTGATGTGAGTGGAGAGTTTGCATGTGTTGCTGCTACAAACGCACATAGATGTGAAGAAAGTGGACTAATTAAATAAATCGATACACTAGTGTGGACCATGGTGGAGAGTGTAGGATCAGACTATTTGTACATTTTTATTACTAATGCCATTGATTCTAATTTACACAATCATTGTGATGCCCGTAATTGTTCTGTTTTGTAGATGCATTTAAAAGTGTCTACAGCTGTGAATATAGATAACAAAGATCAAAAAGACACCACCAAAAAAGAACAAATTCATTTGTCATTTTTGTTTTCATTTGACTGAGATTCAGAACTCTACTGTGTTTGGGTTTACAGTTGATGGTTAAATAGCAATGGCAGACTAGAAGGTTCTTACACATACTATCTTGCTGTTTATAACATTTTTGTTTGTGTGAGTGTATGGAATTAATTGCTCTTACTCTTGTCTACAGACTCCTGTCAGCCGCCACTGGACCCCAACGCAGGAAACATGATTGATTAGTTTTGCTATGTATTGCATTCCTGCTGCAAATAAAGCTGCCCATAGACTAATAAAAAAGGCTGTATGAAGCTAGGAAATTGTACCTTTTAACACTAAAGGTAGTGTTAAAAACAACCAGCACAGTCTCACTCCTCTCTACACATTCATAATGTCAGTGCTGTAGATGTTGTATTCCAGTCCTGTACACAGATTATCAAAAGACATCAAAATCAGTAGGATGCTCTGTGTTTCTTGTTTTCTAAAATGTTCTTGTGAGTAATAAAATTCCACTTGTTTGTTTTGTTCTTTTAAAGATGTGTATGTGTAGGGTTTGTTTGTCCAGATAAAGAAATGAATGAAATAAAGTTTGACTTAACAATAATGTCAGAAACTTTTGTGAGGTTCCAGATGTGATTTTTCCTCTGTCTATGACTGCATTAGATGTGTTACATGTCCTGGCCTAGGAACAGGAATAACAAGAGGCAACGCCACACAATCAGCTTGCTTAAACCCTATTTTATTTAATATATAGGGCAAACCCAGAGCAGGACACAAACCCGGACAGTGCCAAAAAAACAAACTCCCCCCCCTAACATCTACCTATATTGAAAAGAAGATATACAGTTGTGTTCAGGATAATAGCAGTGTGTCTAAAAAAGTGAATAAAGCTGAAAATCCTTATAATAGTTTTTATTTCCATACAAGCAAATGCATTGGGAACACTACAAATTCTATTCCAAATCAAAACAAGAAGAGAAATTCATCACATTTGTGTTATTCCTTTACATAAAGTGAAGGAAAGGGAATATTAGGCTGTTCAAAAAAATAGCAGCGTCCACATTCTTCTTTACAAACTCAAAGATTCACTGCATGAGCTGAAAAATGTTTTAAGATTTTGCTTTCCTTTGAATCATTGAACTAATATTTAGTTGTATAACCACTGTTTCTGAGAACTGCTGCACATCTGTGCTGTATGGGGTCAACCAGCTTCTAGCACCTGTGAACAGGTATTCCAGCCCAGGATGATTGGACTACATTCTACAGTACACAAGTTTTCTATTGGATTAAGGTTCGGGGATTGGGTTGGCCACTCCATAACGTCAGTCTTGTTGGTCTGGAACCAAGATGTTGCTTGTTTACTGGTGTGTTTGGGGTCGTTGTCTTGTTGAAACACCCATTTCAAAGGCATTTCCTCTTCAGCACAAGGCAACATGACCTCTTCAAGTATTCTGAGGTATTCAAACTGATCCATGATCCCTGGTATGCGATAAATAGGCCCGACACCATAGTATGAGAAACATCCCCAAATCATGATGCTTGCACCACCATGCTTCACTGTCTTCACAGTGTACTGTGGCTTGAATTCAGTGTTTGGGGGTCATTTGACAAACTGTCTGTGGCCACTAGACCCAAAAAGAACAATCTTGCTTTCATCAGTCCACAAAATGTTGCTCTGTTTCTCTTTAGGCCAGTCAATGTGTTCTTTGGCAAATTATAACCTCTTCAGCACTTCTTTTTTTCAGCAATGGGATTCTTGCAGATAGCTTGGCTTCATATAGGCGTCTTCTAATTGTAACAGTACTCACAGGTAACTTTAGACCTTCTTTGATCTTCCTGGAGCTGATCATTGGCTGAGTCTTTGCCTCTTTGTGGGTTCATGGGCAGCCTTCTGAGTCGGGATCCGCCAAAGAGGTGATTGGTGACTCACCTCGCGTTGGGGATTTAGTTTGTCTTCAATATCCCACTGTGGCTGGTGCTGGTGATGGAGATTCCCCGTCCCCTGTGATTGACGCCCCCCCTGTTCATTCGTCTGCTGGTTCTAGTGATGACCCGCCTTGTTCAGTTGTGGGTGTCAATGATCGCGTTTCTCGGTTTGGGAGGGTGATTAGACCGGTTAGGCGGTTGGTGGAATCCATGGTTCAGTTTGAAACATTTGTGAAGCGCAGTAAGTAAACGCGAGTTTTTTTTTGGAAATTTAACCTTTGGTCTTTGGCTGGTTGGGCTGTTCTTTCCCTCTATGGTGCTGATCTTTTCCGGGTTTTTTAGTCATGATGAGCATGGGGCCTGAGTCTGTAGTGTATAGGGCACTACTTTAACCTGCTGGAGTTTCCTGGGGCATTGCTTGGCGCCGGGTTTGCCCTGGGTCTTCATAACCCTTTTGGAAGGGGTAGTAAATAACTGGTCTGTGGTGAGGCATCGCTATGGCCCTTGCTTTTCAAATGAAACCAGAATGGTTGTATAATTCTAGGGGGGTGAATGTAACAGGTTGTTATTTTAATTTTGTTTATAATTATACAAGATTCTGTTTTCTTTTTTCTGTTTAACCTAATGGGTACAATATCCCTTAAATTTTCCCATGATGCTCTTGTCCTGCATTGCCCCTCCCACTGTCTTTTCTCCTTTATAAGGGTCCCGATTTAGTTTCCTCTTCCCTTTGTTGTACCGCACACGCGGGAAGAGGTAAGGATCTAGTGGCAGGGTCCCTCGGGTTAATAAATTAGTTATTTGGTATAACCAGTTGATTCATTATATAATATAAATAGCGGTTAAAAACATGTCCATATATGATATGCATATGCGTTATTTTACTTTGTGTAGAGAGAGCGAGAGGGCACGAGCACATGAGGTTTATCCCCCATCTAATTGTTTCCAACAGGTATGTTTTTATTTATATAACTGTACTTTATTAATATATTTTTTTGTATTCCTAATTATACTCAGTGCGAATAATGTGTGCATTGCCTTGCCCTTTGTTGTACCGCACACGCAGGAAGAGAGAGAGCGAGAGGGCACGAGCACATGAGGTTTATCCCCCCTCTAATTGTTTCCAACAGCTTTGTTCCAAAGACAGCTTTGTTCCAGCAGCCATCACTCTGATAAATAGATCCTAGCACTTTTTTTTTGTTTTTAATCTGTTTTGTCAGTTGTTCCTGTGTTGAAGTGTGTATGTAGGATGTATGACTCATGACTGC